AGTAAGTTTTATTCACGCTCCTGTTACATACATAGGCATACCTGCAATTAATGAAAGCAGTTATCTGTTTGCTTCACAGTTCACTTGATATACAAAAATGTTAGTTGTTTACAGCATATATTTGAATTTATGTAGCGCATGGCGGACAACTAAGTGCACCGATCGTTATCATTAAATTAAGTAATTCCTGTATTGTTCATATAGTGGAGGTGGAAGTTCAAGTTATTTTTCTATGAACACCTGAAATAATAATTAAGCTAAGAGAATCATAGCCTTACAGATACTTAAAGCGCTGTGTGAATAAATTAAAGGTTCTGGTTTTCATTCACAATTTGTTAGGTATTTGGCTCATGATAGTTGTTGCTACCACTTATAAGTTGTGGTTGTTATGTTTAGATATGTGTATGAACGTAATTTTTTATCGATATTTTGTTTAGTTAGAAAAAAGAACGTATTAAGGCATTTTTTTGTCAAGTAAAATGCGTTATTAGGCTTTTATTTATTTTTTTTTACACAAAAAATGACTAGTTATTTACAAAGTTTGTTCTGTCCTTTTTTTTAAATAAACATTTAACTTTATCTCTACAGTCCCCCGGACCCCTCCTCTGCGTCCTTGTTTTTTATATTGATATGTGTTGTAAACTATATAGTGTGCTACCCTATATATTACACCCCCATCAACAGCTGTTATTTTTGTAGATAAAGTAGGATATAATTTTACAAATTTGGAGAGATCACTCTCCTATAATTTCAGTGATATAAAGTTTGATAGGCTCATGTCTTAAGTCGTCTGCATACGATGCGATCACTTGCCAAATGAAAACAAATGCGTTATGGTGTGAGCGACTGAATGGTCGAGAATACCAACATGTGTAATCTATTCACATGTGTATTCCGACATATGTGCATACCTATTTCGGTAAATCTTTGCTGCAATACACATACTTATCAAAACGTAAACAAATACCGTATCGTGTGGATGATGCATATCGATACATTTGACATTTGTCAACATTTATTTTCCAAATATATACAAACGGCACACCAATAAAATTGTACTGTACTGCAGTTACGAGTACATCAATAGGATTAATTTCAACAGTCTGGAATTTGTATTTTTTCTACATTCGTAAAAAAGTTTGGCTAAATAATCTGCAAATATTTCACACGTTTATGTGTGATTATCTGGGAGCTTTACAGTAGGGGAGATGCAGTTTAAAGAATGGACATACCTATGCATTAACTATTAAGTATTAAGTAGTTGGTATAGGCAATAACACTTTTTTGGGCATATCGCATAAAGGCATTTAAAGATGAGCAATAAAAGTTTTAACACAAAAATATGCCCACAAACAACTAGTGAAGACATGTTTGTTCAGAAGCAGAATATTGCAATTTAAATTTTGTTTATCTGCCCTTAGATGGGCCAATCTTTTCAATAAAAGTTTTGAAATCAATGATAGTCGTTCTCAAAGAATTTTGGAATCCAGGAAAATTATTCATTTTCAATGTCATTTGCTTGAAGATATTTGTATGTGAACGTTATTTGTAGATCTGGACTAGGCATTATTCATAAATTTCTGAAACGTATATTTTGTAAATATCACTACAAATATGTTTGGACTTGCAACATAAATAAAAATAAAAGTATAAAGTAATAAATCTTCGGTATGTCTTTGGCATATCATATTGACACTACAGACCAGAAATGTACAAATTAGATGACGAATTTCTTACAACTCCTACCTTACCTCAAGACTTAAATATTTCCAAAATGGTTACATTGTCATTCAGTTCAAAAACCAGTAACTCTTGGTTCTTATAAGAAGCGAGACAAATGCACTTTAGAGTATCATCACCTTTTCTTTACTCATTGTATATGTATTAAACTAATCCAAACAAGAAGGAAGTTTTGAATTTGTTTGAATTATCTTAATACCTTTACAAAAGAGAAAAAATATGAGAGATAATAACGGAACATATGATTTTTAAAAAGAGAAACGCCTATTCTATGATCTTTTTGTTCTTCGGTCCATGATCTCATGATTTTATTAAACAAGGAACTGACAAGTTGTAATTTATTTCTAGCGATTGCATTATTATCAATGCGTACTGCAGAAATTTCTATTTCGACGTGCAATTAATTCACGCGGAAGGTCATCCACTCCACTGGAAACCCGCCGTCGACGTGTAGGTGCCCTGCGTTTTTAGCAGGCGCTCTAACCTCCGCCAATAAAAATCAACCTGATTTACCGACAAGCGAATATTTCGCAAAATAGGACACTACGTGGTTTCATTTACATGGATTTGTAACCGTTTATGTGCAGATATTTTTTCCTTAAAGTCATGCCACTATGATTACATACAGGATATTTCTCAGAAGTTAAGCTAATTATAATAGTTTTCCTGGAATTCAATTAATGGCTTTAATTTGTTAATTGAATCTGAATGAACTTAATGTAACATGTTAAATAATAATCAATCAGCCATTAGAAACTGTAAATTCTTGTTACAGTTCTGTTAATAAACACCGTGCCATCATAACTTAAGGATGTTAAAAATGATGACAATCCTGAACAATATTTTACTTATTTTTGGTTTTAGCTAATACGATTTTTTTTTTTTGTGAGAGATCGGGAAAAATTATATTTGAGAAAAATTAAAATGCCGATGTCCAAATTCGGTGGCAATAGATTATGATTTTACAAATCAATTATTCATCAAATCATACTAATCATAATTAGCCGATTATCTAAATTTTTAATAAAAATAAATATTTTATATTTTGATGAAAAAGGCACAACTCGCGATAAGTCCTACATATTTTTTGAGAAATGAAAATATTGAAATTGCATATATGTATTTAATGATACAAAATCATTTTTCAACCTTGTACGTATTAAATGTCGGAAAATTCCATTAAATGAAAAATACAAAATTTTATCTATTTCAACTTTACCCGCTGACATATAAGGTGTAATAGGTCCATAAACGTAAAGATTTTAAACAAATATTAGACTGTTTTTGCTCGTTGTTTAGCAACTAACAATTCCAAATATTTCGAATTTTCACATCTAAGAACGGCGCGCGGTGACAACATTTTTAACATTAAGGCGATGTTTCGCATTGTTTTAGCTATGTCCTGTACAAATTTAGTTTCTGCAACTCTCTCGGTTTCAAAAATACAATACTTATGTACGTTTTCAGCCACGAAATTTGAATAATTTCAAATATTTCACAACCAAGAACGGCGGTGACAACATTTTTAACATTAAGGCGATGTTTCGCATTGTTTTAGCTATGTCCTGTACAAATTTAGTTTCGTGCAACTCTCTCGGTTTCAAAAATACAATACTTATGTACGTTTTCAGCCACGAAATTTGGATAATTCTAAATATTTCGAATTTTCACAACCAAGAACAGCGGTCTAACACATCTCGCTTTTGCATGTTCTTATAGCCATATCACCCTTAACATTAGTTATATGATCCTCTAAATCTTAGATTCTTTTGGTCTTGAAATCAGAATTATGACAGAATATGTAAAAGTATATAGGATCTACAAAGCCCAATATAGCCGATACTTTCGTTCGTTCCACCGAATTATAAGAAAGGCTTCCCAATCAACTGAATCTCAGACGTACAAATCATTTATCCAGTGATTACGCATGCGGACTCATCTTCTCAACTGCAACCTCGGTAAATTTAATTGTTTACTAATTTCATGTTGTAAAGATGCTTCCTCAATTATGGTTCTTATTGAAAGCATTGCGATTTCATTGAACTAACTCATACGTATTATTTATTTTCTTCCTCGAGGAAACATCCAATATTTCTTTGACATGAGTTTGTTCTGGTATTGTGTCTGTTCACAACTTGTCTTATGTGTTTTATGGAGCTCATCTCCCCAAAGTCTAGAGCACTGCAATAAATGTCAAATGCTGGCTCTGGTCCTAGGAAAGCTTCTTCAGATCTCATTTTTGTAAGTTGATCTGATTTCTCAATTTCTATAATACTTTTACGTCCTGGTCTTAGGAAAACTATTTGAGATTCCATTTCTGTAAGTGGATCTACTTTTTTATTCCCTTTACCGCTTCCTACTAGCATTCATTTATATGGAAGGCTTCAGCTTGGAATGCTGTAGGCTGTAATTTCTTTGCCAGCTAATTCTACTACTACAGCTCTTGTACTTCTATCTGTTTTGGAACCATTCTTAAATCATACTAGTTTCGTATTTCATGTGAATTTTATATCCTCCCATTCTCTTTGATTCTTTATTCTAATCTTGAAATGTTTATGGTCAGATATCCAAAATAGTATATATCGCATTCATGATCTTGAAGTATTCATTGTCACGAGGCGCGATATTCCATTTGTTCCTGAACCTTTTCTTTGTATCACGATATGAAATGGTCACAAATTTATCACATTTTTCCAAGGCAATTGTTGGAGTCGACGCTATAACTAATGTTATATTGATGCAGGCTAGACCTTAGGGACCTAAGATGTATTTAGTTTTTCCTTGCAGTAGTTTGTTTGACCTTAAGCTACCAGAACATCTTACCACAAAAACCTAGGTTTCACTATAGAAGTATACATGTATTGTAATAACTTTTGTTTTAGTTTCCTGGTCTTTCTTATTAGGCATCAATTGGATGGAACAAATCTTTAGAGGACTATAAATATTGATATGACTATCTATCAATTTTGTTGTATGTACATATACAAATACCGTATTATTACTGTCAGAAAACAGAACATCCTAAAGTATCTATTCTTTGATAACCAAATACTGATTAGATCGTGGAATTCATGCGAAAAAAACGACTAAATAATTTTTTTATTTAAATAAATTCGCATAAAATAAATATACAAAAATTATCTACAAAATTATAGGACAAATTTACAACAACAATAATAATCGGACAACATGTTGTCAGCTGGCAGTCTGGCTTTACGATTTCTTTTCTCGCATTTTTGGTTTTGTCGCATTTTAGTGACAGAAGGGGTAGTTGGGGCATGCCCCGGGGGCGAGTCCTGCGGGTAATTGGGCGGGCTGTTGGGGGGCGTATTGGGGCGCCGCCGGGGTGTATGCAGCCGCGTTGTATTGCGACACCTGATTGTAGGCTGGGGAAGCGTAAGCTTGTTGGCCTAGAAAGAAGAAATGTAATATTTACATGGTTGTTAAGTGTTACTGAAATCTTTTAATTGCATGACTTTTTAAGAGAGCCATTCTCATGATGTGCGTTTTCCCCAACGAGAAAATATTTTAAACATTTAGTAGCTTATTTATAAATTGATGATATTGCCAGAAATAACTACTCTGCCGACTAATATCCCGACAGCATTGAATTATGTCCGATTCATCTAGTAGTAGGTTCAACATTGTTTAGCCTATAGTAGGATCGTATTCGATGCAAAGTAGAGCAAAAAGTTGTCGGTTTTTTATCAACGTAAAATCGTGTCATCATTTTTAGGAGGCGAAGATGAACCATTTCAAATTTAAAATGAAATTGAATGTAAAACCTGAAATACCGCTGCATACACACTGTGTTCTGGTAGTAGCTGTAGTAGCCCAGGTGCATCGAGTGTACGAAGTGGTCGGTTATACGTCAAATACTAATCTGGCGAGCTTTGCCGTAAATTAGAGAGCGCCTCCAAAAAACAAGTAAACAAAAGTGGCGCGTACAGAGGTAAAATGTAGTACATATGTGGAATTTAAAAAACAAATTGGATTTATAATAAATTACATTTAAAATAAATAGTTTATGAGAATAAAGGAATTTTTGTAGGAACAAGGGTGCCAGACGTGAACTAATTCCCTCGTCCCTTCATAATGTATAAAGAAATTATTCAATTTCTAAAACCCTTAAAGGAGTACTGCATTGGATCCCTTGACAGGCAATGATTTATTACTTTGCGTCGAATATGATCCTACTATAGTGGCGACACGCAAGTCTTACTTTCATAGTACCTGCAGAATAGCAGTTTGGCCATATTAAAATTTTATATATTGAGTATCACGGAGCATTCATAGATGTATGTAGCATTCTTACATCTCGCTTAATAATGATAATATAATAATATTTCTCATTTTCGGTTTTAAATGTGACAAACTTATCATTAAAATATATGAAAAATTTCATAAAATCCGACATTTGCAATAATTTTTTAAGTGTGTATCTTTTAGCAAAACAGCTGTTGTATTATATCAAAACGTAGTAGATATTTTATTGTTATACAAATATAAATCAAGTATTATCAATATTCTGAATTAAGACTTAAAAGTATAACTTATTGTCCTTTAATATTTAAATACATTAGCATCATTTATATCTAAAGTAAAGCAAAAGTAAGTGTAAAAGATCTAACAAATCGAGTTCTCAGATATACAAATTATTAAAATTTAGTCAGCAGTGTCCTATAGATCTGCAAGTTGCGTATAAGAGTATGTTGTGGTCATGTGCGTGTGCTTGACACACTAGATACAGCATCCGTGCGCTGTATTTCCGTATCTGGACATTTTCCATTAAACGTAACGATTTCACGTCTATTGGAGACTAATTATTTATTAAATATATTATGTACATGAGACGCTTTGAATGCAGATTACTCATATATTTGTAGTATTTGAGCCAAAACTCTTCAGTTCTAAATAAATAAATTGTTATTCTAAATCTCTACAACTTCCAATAAACTTAGGTATATGTTAGTGATAATTTCAATTGTTCAGTAAACATTTCTCCAAAAAAATATAATTTTCAGTTTTCAGGTGTTGATAAAGTTTTGAAATAGGAACATCCTTCTATAAAAAGGTAATTTTTTTAATTTAAAATTTGTCGATTATGGCTCAATTTTTCTCAATGTGTTCATAGCTTGTATCAATATTGTTTATGTTTCCAATCAATGTTATTTATGTATCAATGTCATGTTTTTTGATATTTTTTGATATTCATAATTATAATTAGTTCATCCATTAAAATTAAAAAATGTTTCAACTGTATGTACATTTAAGGAAAACATATCAGTGAACATTTTATTTGTTTAGGTATTTAATTTATTTGTGAACCCATAGGTTGCTAACATTGCATTTAAGGAGAACGTAAATGATAAAACTTTTATATTAATTTTACAATAAGCGATTAATATTTAGAATATTTCAACAAAGTATTTATAATAGAATTCAGTGGCGGAGTCAAATTTTAGACAAAACATTTGCTAACCAATTTGTGACACTTGAAACTTGACATAAAAAAAAAAATTAAAATCAAGCTTTAATAACAGAAAATAATTCAGGTACTATGTTATGTAATATACCTACTTTTTTTAAGCTTTATCTTAAAAAAAAAACGAATTACATTGGTCAATAAGGGTGTTTCCATTTTAAATGGGTCACACTGTATAACCATTCTCTAAAATAAAGTTAAGGGCCATTTATTTTGTAATAATTACCTGCGTATCCCGGGGCTAGAGCTTCAGCGAGACCCTCGCCGCGATAGTCACCATCTCCAATATACTCGCCTCTGTCCAAACGGCCCTGGATATCAGAGCTGTACTGCTGCTGGGTAGCAGGAGCGTACTGTTGGGGATAGGCGGGGTTGTACTGGTTGACGGGGGCGGTGTACTGTTGGGGTTGGTACTGTGGGGCGGGTTGGTATTGAGGGGCGGACTGGTACTGTGGGGCGGGTTGGTATTGCCTAGCTTGGTAGGTCTCTGCTATCTGGTTAACGGCTACAGCAGGGTTGGCGCAGTTGGGGTAGTTGGGACAGGCCTTGGGATCAACGCCGGCGGGGTAGAGGGAGGCGGGTTGGCCGCCGGCAAGGGGGCCGTTGTAGGCGGCGGAGGCAAAAGCCAGGGTGCAAGCGATTACTGCCTGAAATATCAGATCAGATGTTAACGAAATTGTACAGTGCAAGAATTATAATTATTTAAAGAAATAAAATGCAAATAGGAGCTATTGAATGCCACATACAGAGTGTATTGGAAAAATACCATACATTCAGAAAATCAAAAAATAAAAAGGTTTTTTCTTATGCACTATGGGCCTATCGTCTTTTGTTTTCAGGTACAGAGGGTCAAAAATGATTTTTTAATTCCAAATTTGGTTATATCTTTTCCAAAAAATAATGGAATGCATTGAAATTTGGTAAAGGTAAGGTTTTGAGCGTGCCAAATATATTTGGCCAATAATTGTTAGTTTTTGATCATCTGCTAGAAGTTGCTGGATTTGACCTTATCCTGTGTCATTTTATAACATATTATTATTTTATTGATGTTAAGTTTTTTAAAATATATGTCATATATTATATTATAAAATTACATTTTACCAAAAAAAAACCTTGTTGAAATCGATCGTTTTTGGGAAAACACTATTATTCTTCTAATCTTTAATATATAGACTGTGCAAAGGGTGATTGAATATAAACAGGTTTAGATTAAGTTAACCCAGTATAATTTTACTTCCTTAAAACATTATCTATCTTCAAAAAAATATCCCTTGTTAACTAATACTTAACAACATAAATTTTTAAGGAAGCAAAATTGAATTAAGGTTATTTGATCTGAATCGATTCATTCGTATATTACGGAGTAGAAAGGAGTAGAAGCTTGATAACTTTGGGACAGTTAATTGCGTTTTTCTGAAAAGCATTTTCAGCGAATGCCACAAGACTGTCCTTGTTACGTAAAATGAAATTTTACTTGTATATTAATACAGAAAATAAATTTTTAAAAATTAACTCAGAAAGTTGTTATCAAATGTCATTAGAAAAAGTCGTACCTACTGATCTCTAGCAGATAGTCAAAATCTAATAACATTGGCGTGTTTAGCGACCTTTAAACCTTACCAATATCATTTTTATATTATTTATCAATTTTTTACAATGTTGCTAAGTGTGTTATCGCACAATCGAACGAAAGTTTGAAACTACTAGATATGAAGCTGAATTTTTTTATATGCACAGACTGTTATATACTTAAGAATTGCTGAATTTATTTAAAAACATACGAAATAATTTGACGGTAAATGTCTATACAATTTTTACATATTTATCGTATATATATCATAGTGGCATGTCATTTTCTTGCATATAATATTATGAGAGGCTGTAGCTTTTTTAAGAATTTTTTTTTTTTGAGTTTTTAGTTTTCCTGATATAATCGAAAGTGTAATCTTTATTTATTTTTTATTTGATTAAATCTCAATATCGAGGATTAAAAATAAAAAAAAAATTGAAATGGATATGATATTTAACAAGAGCGGGGTATGCTTTGACCAGCAATTTATTCGTCATCGAATTACGTAACTTTGCGTTAATTTGTCTGACCTTGCAGCTCTCGAGATAACGGAGAATCCAATGGTGCTGTTTGAAACGTGCACACATACGAAAGAGTAGAGTTTTCAAGTTAAATTCAACTGTAACCTCTTAATCTTTAAAGTTATTGGAAAAGATTATTTATTTATTTTTCTACTAATAATGATAAAATATCATTGTACAAAGCCCAATGTCGAGATAAATTTACAGATAAAAAAAGAATACGTACATGTAAGTTGTTCATAAATTTTTCACAAAGAATACATTTCTTAAAAAAACATTGTGGAGCGTCGTATTCTATTAATATTAAAATATCAGCATTGTTTTTTCTTGTGTCCTGTATATTTTTATATATTATTATGGAGCATCTTAGAGCATTTTCTTGAAATTATTGTGACACAAAATTTGGTGAGTGTATTTATACAGTGAGCGGCAAAAGTATGGAATATATTTATTTAAAAATCAGATGTTGGTTATTTGAAAAATCTCTCGGACCCGCCGAATTATATTTTTAGTTGCGAATTTTCTGAAGCAATTTTCATTTATGTGGTCCAAAAAAAAGTTATGAAATCAAGGCCAACTTTTTTAAATGGAAACCCCACTTTTTGATATTTTTATTCAGTTCTCCATGGAATTCTGATCATTTTTTATTTAAAGTAACCTATACCTATCTTTTACCGTTTTCGAGATAATGGCGTCTGAATATAGAATATGGAAAATTTTTAAAAATTACTCTCGATACGTAAGGACTGTAACGTCAAAGTCAGTGGAAACGGGTGTACTTTCTGCTACAAACATTTTGTGTTTTTGTATTTTGTGTTTACAAAAAAACATGAAACGGTGCTAAAAATTTGCAAAATAACCTGGCTCGTAATTTAAATAGTGACATTTAACAGAATTATATTTTATACAATAAAATTATGCATTTTTAATTAAATTATACCTAAATACCTCACTTATATTTTTTACATTCAAGTCATTGTGTCCTAATGATCAAAATAAATCGCTGAACCACTTATTTCTTATGGATTTTTTCTGATTTGAAGCAACTTTTTGTGAACCATACAAATCTAAGATGGAAAATTAAACTGGTTTTATTTTAAAACCAGCAGGGTAATTTTTGAAAACTTTCCATATTCTATATTCACATGCCATTATCTCGAAAACGGTTAAAGATAGGTATAGATTATGTTACATAAAAAATGATCAGAATTCCAAGGAGAATACAAAAAAATAAAAAATACAAAAAAGTGGGATTTCCATTTAAAAAAGTTGGCCTTGATTTCATAACTTTTTTTTGGGCCACCCTGTATAAATGAAAATTGCTTCAGAAAATGCGCAACTAAAAATATAATTCGAACGAACATCTGATTTTTAAATAAATATATTCCATACTTTTGCCGCTCACTGTATAATAACAAAAGAATGAATTGCCATAACAACAAATTTCTGTTACATACTTTTCATGTGTAATGAAAATAAAAACGACATAATATATTATACCAACACATCTAATAATTAAGTTCTATTAAAAATATAAGAAAAATCAGTTGCAGTCATCTATTCAAACTGTTTTTGTAATAATGATTTCCAATAATGATTTAATTTTTGTTTATTGAAAAATGTTTCTAAAAATTAGTAAAAAATAAGTATTGTTTTCATTGAACAAGATCGTATAAGTTTGTTAATGCAATTTTAAACGTAGATGTAGTTTGTTACGTCAAATAATTTTTATTAAATCTAGGTAGCACTAGCATAATAAATGATCTGATTTTGTATTTTTAGCTCTTAACTAAAAATTTTTTTTTATTAATTTATGAAAATATAATGCTCTAAATGCTTTAACGACGGTAGATTACACTTTGAAGATGCCACAAAATATATTAAATAATTTAAGTTTGATCACAGCGGTACCTCCTCGAACAATTCAATGGTTCACTTGCACTGATGACACTTTTTCAAAAATATGCACCCTCAACGTACTTACCAGTTTTACAAACATGTTGTTATTTTGCTGTTCAAGTTCACATTGACGGTCCGCCAAAATTGTGCCACATTTATATGCACACCACGCCCCATATAGCCGTGAACTTCTACGAAATATGCCGTATTTCCATGGTGGAATGGGCCACGGCGGCATAGGAAGCAAACGCGGAGGAGATCGAGGGCGATCCCGCGGACTTCACACATATCGTCCTTTTCCTTCGAAACTGCCGTTTCGTTACCGCCTACTAGTTACGTCTGTGTCATCTAACCGCTGAAAGTTTTTGGAAAATCTGATTCACGAGTACGTTCACGGAACTGAATCGGCCATATCGGCTTACCTTTAGATCGGTATGTTGAAGTTGGGCAATACCGCTCGGGAAATGTTGTATTGTGTGCACAAAGGTTCGATGGAAGAGAAAGTCGATTGCGAAACTATAGATGTGATTTTTTTCTGATTTTGATGTAATAATTTTGTATTCATGAAGCACGAGTTGAACCTGATGTAATTGTTTAGACATTTCCTCAGTTTTCAGGCCAACACTAGCGAGGCTATAAGTGCATACTATCATATATGATAATGCAAATTTTAGTCAACCTAACTGAATTTTTTTTTTACCAATCTGGCGAAAATATTAGGTGTAAGTTTGTCAGATACTATTTTATTTTTTTAATTGTATATGTATTAGAGAAAATAGTGACTGAAAGTCACGGTGAAAGGAATAGCACTTTGAAATATAAATATAGATGAGAATGATAAAAACCGATCTCTTCCAAGAGCTGTAGGTAAATGTAAGTTGCTTATTTAAATTTTAGACACACATTCAATAATCATAAAAAATAAGTAGTTGCAAGTAGGTACTACCACCAAATACCACCCTTCGAACATAACATATTTTATTCCCTGTTCTCTATGCATATCTTTTGCAATATGGCTTGGATAAAATATAACCTACAAAGTATATGTCCATTACTTAAACGTCATTGTTACTCAATGCCTACTAGCACAAAGCAGCGCTTTGTATAAACTGGCACAGAGCGACCTACCGAACTATAGGTATTATGAAAGCATGATTAGTGTCGCACTAGGCGAAATATATATATTTTTTTACTAAAGATGAGGAATAATTACTCGTCTGTTTGGTGATTTTTGCTGAATGATAGATATGAGCTATCTATTTATAGGTACTGGAAATGTAATTCAATGCTGGACGGGGCATATCGTCAGCAGAGTAGTTTTTTCCCGCAGTGCCATTAGTTAAAAAGGTATTAATCGAACATCATTTCCGTTTACTTTAACAACAAATTGTACCTGAACGACAGTTTCAAATGCCAAATACGGTTGTACAATTATCTACTGTCGAAATTTTTATTAAGGTTTTGATAGCAAAAATTACATTGTTATAAAAACCGAAACTGAACTATTCTTACACTAAAATACTGGATACTACAATTCAATTCTTTTACTTTACAAATTACTTTATTGAACAAATATTTTTTTTTGATTCTGTAAAAACTCTATACCTAATTGTTAACTTGTCGGATGGTCACCGACCTTAGTTTATATTTTACTCATTAATTTTGAGTTTTAACATATTATACAGGGTGTTCCAGAACTTATCCAAAAAAAAAAAAATTAGGGGCAGTTCGAAAATAATTTAAAAATATACTTCTGCATGGCACTGGAAACTGGTCCACTATAAAACCTGACCTCGCACAATGCGACCGATATGGCGGCAAAATGTGATAAAAACGGACAAAAACTTGAAAGAATTTCACAAGGAAAGAAATAAACAGAATTTAATAGCACCTATTTTATATCAGCAAGTTCAACTGCTTTTGCCATTATTGTTATTATTAATTAATAAAATTAATTTGTGGTTTTAAATAATAAAATAATTTGGCATAACTGATGTAACAACAACTGTTCAAAATTATGTTCACCGACGTGTGAACACATTTGGGTCCGTCTTATCAGCAAATTCAACTGCTTTTGCCATTATTGTTATTATTAATTAATAAAATTAATTTGTGGTTTTAAATAATAAAATAATTTGGCATAACTGATGTAACAACTGTTCAAAATTATGTTCACCGACGTGTAAACACATTTGGGTCCGTCTTACTCAGTTTCTACGAACTAACACAAATGTTGTCTTGTCTTGATTCATCATAAATTAAAATGATATCCATCAAATTCGAGTTGCGCAAACCATTTTTTACACTAACTACTAAAAAACTATTGTAAACACTATCGCAACGACGATTGTAAAATCGGATTTTAGTATTCGGAGTCGCTGAGGCCACGTGGCTCTCCACGCGTATTGCGAATGACGTTACAGACTACAGTTGTCCAGCTATGTAGTGGGTGAAAGTACTGCAACTTCAATAATTTTTTTCTCGGAAACTATGAGGATTTTACAAATTTTTTTTACGATATTGACTCCATTTTTCTTGTCGCATCTATTTCCAATTTTTTTTGGATAAGTTGTGATCATATACATATAGTATTTATTGAGATAGTATGGAGGAAGCTTTAGATCGGTTTTAGCTGATCGTTTTTGAGAAAAACAATTATTTTTTATTTCAAGAATCTTTCAAATCTTTAATCATTTTAGAAACCATGATGCTGGTTTATTTGGAACCAAAACGTTGAAACAAAATATGCTTTCAAAAATTAGAAATAGTAAATAAATTTTCTTTTTTTTTCAAAATATCAAACAGCTGGAGTCGATTTACGAGTCTCATTANTAATAAAATAATTTGGCATAACTGATGTAACAACAACTGTTCAAAATTATGTTCACCGACGTGTGAACACATTTGGGTCCGTCTTACTCAGTTTCTACGAACTAACACAAATGTTGTCTTGCTTCACCATAAATTAAAATGATATCCATCAAATCCGAGTTGCGCAAACCATTTTTTACACTAACTACTAAAAAACTATTGTAAACACTATCGCAATGACGATTGTAAAATCGGATTTCAGTATTCGGAATCGCTGAGGCCACGTGGCTCTCCACGCGTATTGCGAATGACGCTACAGACTACAGTTGTCCAGCTATGTAGTGGGTGAAAGTACTACAACTTCAATAATTTTTTTCTCGGAAACTATGAGGATTTTACAAATTTGTTTTTACGATATTGACTCCATTTTTCATGTCGCATCTATTTCCATTTTTTTTTGGATAAGTTGTGATCATATACATATAGTATTTATTGAGATAGTATGGAGGAACCTTTAGATCGGTTTTAGCTGCTCGTTTTTGAGAAAAAAATCTTATTTTTTATTTCATGAATCTTTCAAATCTTTAATCATTTTAGAAACCATGATGCTGGTTTATTTGGAACCAAAACGTTGAAACAAAATATGCTTTCAAAAATTAGAAATAGTAAATAAATTTTCTTTTTTTTTTCAAAATATCAAACAGCTGGAGTCGATTTACGAGTCTCATTAAGTGTTAATGGAATGGTCTAAAACATAACCATTTCTACCTTTTCGAAATCTCAATACAAAAAAATTTGGAATTATATATATTATTGGTACCGCTATCCAAATAAGGTAATAACCTTTTTAATCACCTAAAGAACCAAAAATCAATTGCAACACATATACATTACACTATGTAATGAATATTTCAAAATTTATCAGTCTGGAGTCTTCTGAAGAATATTATTAACACAAAAAGTATAATTTTTTATTACACGTCATTCACACAGATGTATCAATAAAAAAACAAGTCCAAGAACAAATCTCACATAGTTAAAGTAAGTATATCAATTTTTTACCTGTTTTACTTTTATTTTTTTGCCACTATTTTTTCCGTATCAAAATTTATATACATAAATGTGGTAATTTCATTAACATTATACAAATATAGACAAGCTTTTTAATTTTTGGTTCCGATCTCCTCCTTGTATCCTAGATAAATCAAAAAAGTTGTTTTTAATTTTGACACACTGTGAAATTTATACCAACCGATAAGAGCAATTACATATGTACATATGTAAATGTTCGCATATTAGCATCTATGTTTAAGGTCGCTATTAGTTAATGTCATTCACGCTGTGAGTTTAGAACGAGAGTACATATCCAGGATCTAAAAGACAACAATTGATGAGAATTTGTAGAACAAGCAGTGAAATAAGAGCTCGTTTTGTATGTATTTTATATTTACTTGTTTTTTATTTAATTCCAATTTGCTCTGATATAAAATGATAACGAATTTAATTAATATTCGAATATGGTAAGCTTTGTGTCGGTTGAATATTTATTCGCACCTTTATATCTTATAGTTTTAGGTATACAAGTATACGCGTGCTTAATAAAATCCGGCTTTAGAGAATTTTTTTTTTTTAATGAAAAGTTAGGTATTAATTTTTTTTACCATGACTAATACTATAATCAATCTATTGTCTGCACAATACTGCCTGTCTCGAGACATTGTGCTATAAAAAATGTTTAGTTATAGTTTAATTGACGTAAATTCACGCAGTCAATTGTAATTCTTATATTTTGTCTCCAAAAAAAGCGGACGAAAGTATGTAATAACATTGTAGGAACCGCATATTTATATTAGCGTCAGATTTATTATTTTCTGCTTTAAAATTTGAAATAGAAAAAGCATTTTTAGATTTTTGAAATACTCCCATAATGTAGTTCTGAAACCATATTAACTGTTACTTATTATTACCTTGACAATATGAATGAGATCATGCACTCAGGACATGCCGATGGCAATATTGAAGTGAAACCAGCTTGGAATAATATGTTACAGAATATAATAAAATAGAATATATTCTGCAGCAACACGGACGATATCTTTAAATACTTACTTGTACTTTACTATACTATAATTAGCTATCCCAGCGACTTCGCCATTTTTTTAAATGGTCTACAATAAGCCTTATAGTAATTAGGTATAAAAAAATTTTTTAGCCTTTACATATAGATGTAAACTATGAATACATGAATCAATCCTACATTTTTAGTACTTCTTTAACTTACTTTGTTCCTACAGATAAAAATAATTGTGTATGGATAGTAGATACTATTATATATATATTAATGAAATATTATGAATAGGTATATGTATTAATGAAAATAT